GTAGACACCTGGGCAGTGTAATGCAAGATGAGGACCAAGTCTCACTTGGTGCCCCTGGCTTCCCGACCCCAGCACCTAGGGTGGCGCCGAGGATGCAGCAGGGTGAAATTCAGGAAACATCTGCTGGAGTGCGGTCTATCCTCTTGGCTTACATTTTCTCTAGGGAAAGGTTCCTCCTTGATGGCAGGACTTAAAGTATTCCCTGACCCTCACACCCAATGGGCAGACATGGAGCATTATGTATCACTGGAAGTGAAAAAACATGTTGGAAATAGGGGATCAATTGTATACTGAAGGTGTGTGTGGACTCTCACTCCAACTACCCTGTGAAGTAAGGCTGCTCCCTTAATGCCCTTGCACTTGTTCTTTCTGTATTTTGACAGTTAGTGAACTCCTAGACCTCTTCAAAACTCACTTCAGATACTAACTCCTCTAAGGCTTTCCTGATTTCCCAAAGGTGTAATTAATCATTTCATTCTCTGTGCTAGTTCCATATTTTACATATATTGTATATGTTAAAGCTAATACTGATAAAGTAGTTTCTATGTGTCATGGTGTTTTAAGAACTTTACATATATTGACTTACTTAATTTTCACTACAATTCTATGAGATAGGTACTCTTTTTAAAAAAATATATATATATTTTTGTAGTTTTTTTCTTTTTTAAAAAATTTTATTTTATTGTTTAAAGTATTACAGATAGTAGTACATATGTCCCCCCCCCCCCCCGCCTGCCCCAGTGACCTATTTTTATTGATTTCAGAGAGGAAGGGAGAGTGAGAGTGAGATAGAAACATCAATGATGAGAGAATCATTGATTGGCTGCCTCCTGCACACCCCCTATGGGGATTGAGCCGCAACTGGGCATGTGCCCTTGACCGGAATCAAACCTGGGACCCTTCAGTCTGCAGACTGATGCTCTATCCACTGAGCCAAACCAGCTAGGGCTAGATACTCTTTTTTTTTTTTTTTTTTTAAACACATTTTTGTTGATTTTTAGAGAGAGAGGAAGGGAGAGAGATAGAAACATCGATGAGAGAGAAACATTGCTCGGGTGTCTACTGCACGCTCCCCCTCCCCTGGGGATGAGCCTGCAACCCAGGCATGTATCCTGACTGGGAATCAAACCGGCAACCTCTTGGTACATGGGATGACACTCAACTGAGCCACACCAGCCGGGTGACAGATACTCTTAATATTCCCATGTTGCAGATGAGGAAATTAAGGCACAGATGGTAAACAACTTGCTCTAAGTCATAGGCTTTCAATCCAGGTATTTCTATTGCTGCACTTAATACACTAGGCTGCCATTTATTTGTTTCAAAGTCCTTTTCAATGCTGGGAGTTCCTGAAAGCAAAAAGACCGTTTTATTTGTTCAGCTCTATGTTCCCACACTTGGCAGTCTCAAGCTAATGGATGTCCTGAGTGCTCACTCAGCCATGGCAGATAGCCTCAACTGTGACTATCTGCCATGTGACTATGCGTAGTGCTTTTCTATCCACTGTGCCTGGAATATATTCATGGTCAATACATAATTGCCTAATTAACAGTGACCAGCCCAGTCAGAAACTTTCTCATGAGCCTGGGCTTGAACATTCCCTGGGTGGCCTAGGATGTAAGTAAATAAAGTACATTGGCCATTTGCAATCATTTTTGGAAAAAAGCTCATCTGAATCTAGAGGGGGAAAAAAAGGAACATCATTCCACAAGTAAGAAACTCCAGAACTTGAAAAAGAATTAGAAACCAAATCTCTAGCCCTAGCCGGTTTGGCTCAGTGGATAGAGCATCGGCCTGCGGACTCAAGGGTCCCGGGTTTGGTTCCGGTCAGGGGCATGTGCCTTGGTTGCGGGCACATACCCAGTGTGCAGGAGGCAGCTGATCGATGTTTCTGTCTCATCGATGTTTCTGGCTCTCTGTCCCTCTCCCTTTCTCTCTGTGGGAAATCAATGAAATATATTAAAAAAAGAAAAAAAGAAACCAAATCTCTAAAGTCAAAACAATTCAATTAGTATCCAGAATCAACTCTTTTTTTAAAAAAATATATTTTTATTGATTTTAGAGAGGAAGGGAGAGAAAGAGAGAGATAGAAACATCAATGAGTGAGAATCATTGACTTCCTCCCACGCGCCATCAACCCAGGCATGTGCCTTTGACCGGAATCAAACTGGGGACCCTTTAGTCCACAGGCTGCTCTATCCACTAAGGCAAACCGGCTAGGGCTCAACTCTTTTTGATTCAGGAGTGATAACTCTTGAGATTCTGCTACCTATTAGTTAGTGAGGAGACGTCAAATGTTAAAGAGATATGTAAGTTATATCTCAATAATAATAACTAAAACAACAACAAAAAATTCAAACATGATAGACTCTGGACAGGTAAACTACAGCTGTGGGAAATCAGCAGATAGCCCCCATGACCTATATACACACAGGCAATAAAAGGCCTGCACTCTGGAGTGCTGTTCTGGGATCTGAATCTGGCTCTGACCCTGACCACTGTATGACCTTGGTTCTTTAACCTCTTAGTACCGGGACCTCTATAAAACAAGGGTAATAAGAAAACCTATGTTGCAGGGTTGCCATGAGGATTAACTGAGTCATATGAATCAAACACTTAGCAGTGCCTGGCACATAGCAAGGGTCCAACAAACACAGGCTATTATTCTTCCTGCTTACTTAGTAAAGTAGGCAAAAAACTGGTAGCACATAAGGCACATTACCACAAGCACCCATCACCGTTACCCCTACTGCCTGGCACACAGTGGGCATTTCAGTGGATTTCCACCAGATGAATGAATGGCCAAAGTGGTTCATAGGCTTTTATTCAAGGAGAGAAATTAGAATGGCAATCAGAAGTAAGGCTTCAATGTCAAGAGGACAAGCACAATAAACTCAAAATTTGGCATTCTATTAATGAGACCAATGTATTAAAAACAGCCACTACATAAATTCATAATAATGATTCCTAGACATTATATAAATCCTTTTGTGCTTATAAATTATCAATGAATAATTATTGATAAATTATTCAAGGAAGTTTTAAAATTAAGTAGATATTACTGTATTCAAATGCTTTAAAATTTGGAAATCCATGTAGAGTCTAAATGGCCATGATGAATTAACTGGAATATTTTGATTGATTGCAACACTTAGTTCATACTTTATTACCCACATGTATTGTTCCCTGTCTACCTTTTGTAGTTCTCACTAGACTGTGAATATCTCTTATGCGTAGTGCTTTTATATCCACTGTGCCTGGAATATATTCATGGTCAATAAATAATTGCCTAATTAACAGCCATCATGTTCCATGACCATACCAGATTAAAGTTTTTGGTCCAGCAACATATGCTTTTGGTGTACTTACATTTCCACAAAACAATAAAAAACTTGTATGTTCTTAAGATCTTATAAATACAAATTTCAACATTTAAAAATATGATATATTTTAGAAAAATCATTCTTTAAAACCCTAAAATTTAAGACTAAGTGACTTTACAAAATCTACTCTAAACTGTAAGCTAAAGCAACTAAAAAGTTTAGATGATTTCTAACAATATCAGATAAAAGCTGTTAATTTCTATTTTTTTTTACAGAATAGTTTAATGGTTTTTTTAGAGAGAGAGAGAGGAAGGTAGAAGGAGAAAGATCTATGTGACAACATAACACTGATCAGCTGCCTCCTGCATGCCCCTACGGAGGTTTGAGCCCGCAACCCAGGCAAGTGCCCTGACCAGGAATCCAACCTGCAACCTTGTGGTGCAAAGGACAACATCCAACCAACTGAGCCACACTGGCAGGATAAAGCTGTGATTTTTAAAAAAAATATATTTTATTGATTTTTTACAGAGAGGAAGGGAGAGAGATAGAGAGTTAGAAACATCGATGAGAGAGAAACATCCATCAGCTGCCTCCTGCACACCCCCTGCTGGGGATGTGCCCGCAACCAAGGTACGTGCCCTTGACCGGAATCGAACCTGGGACCCTTGAGTCCGCAGGCCGAGGCTCTATCCACTGAGCCAAACCGGTTAGGGCTAAAGCTGTGATTTTTTTTATAATAAACTATTGAAGACTTTTATTGCTTGTCTGTCAGATGTTACATCATACTATTGTGTTGTGGATGGTGGCACCTGCTCAAAGGGAAGTAGGAAGAATGAATGGGAATATGTGAAGAAAATCAGGTTCAAAAGCGATCTCTGATACTTTCTCTTGCACATTACATTAAAATGATATTAGGCTCAGGAACCTGCTCTGGACACATGTCAGAAAGAAAACACCATAAAGAAGAGAAGCAGCTTATCCTGGACTCTTATACAAATGAGAGGGAAGATGGCCAATGTATTGAGACGAAAAGGGTGTCTGCAGCAAGTGAAGGCTGAACATAAGGCAGTTCCCCTTCAGCTCAGTGCCCCACCCCCTGCCACCTGCCCCTGGGCTCCTTAAGTCCTATGGGGGTGTCTAATAAAGTCACACACTCCACCCGGGTACTTGAAGCATGATAGGAATTAAAACTTTAGCAAAAGGATCCTGACTTTAAAAGGGGAGGTTAGTCTTCATCTGGTGGGTAGGGACGTTTAGATGTCTGAATTCAAGTAGGGATGCCAAACTCCCTCTCCTTCACAACTCTGTGGTCTGCACCACTTTCCTGGTTTGGAGGTGAGACTGGGGGTGTTAGGGCGGGGGTGGATTCTGGGAAAGTACACCCTGGCACTTGCTTTGCCTCAAGGGCAGGATTCTTTCAGTACTTATGAAGGTATGTATGTTGGGTAGGAAAAGGTTCTATAAAATGGACATTATCTCTCAGCACTATTTCTAAGGATTCAATGAGATATTTTAGAGCATTTAACACACTATCAGGCACATAAGGACCTGAAAAATGTTTCCTCTCATTTCACTGATATGTATCAACAATGAACAAAATATGCTTCAAAGAAAATTTGTTCACAGACCATTAGGAACAACTGCAACTCTGCTGAAATCCACATGGCCTGCTTATGATACAATAGAGCAAACCTTTTTTTTATTTTTTAAGATTTATCTCTTTAGAAGTTACTGTGGCAACATGTAATTTCAAATCTTGCCATTGCCCAGCAACTATAATCTTATTACATAGATTTTGACAATTAAAACATCCCATGTACTGGCTGAGTTTAACAATCTCATCTATTAAATATGGCCTTCCTACCCTCATGATGTGACATTTTGCCAGATGTATATCAGCCTTCCTTTCAATCTCACAGTGGTCAAAAGCATGTTTATCAGAGCTAGAGAGTCCTGAAATAAAAGAACGTGGAAACCCAGGTCGAAGGGAGTCTCTTCTATGACCAACAGCCATATTTTAGTATTGAATGAGAAAGCAATTCCAAAAATTAACCAGGAATGACACAGTCTACCACATAGATTAGCTATCCTATAGAAAAGGTAACAAGTGTTTAAGAAACTCAAAACTAAGTGTTTAAAAAACTCAAGCAGATAGTGTGATGAGGTAAAAGGTAACTGAAATTAAGCTGAAAAAACCAGGTTTGAAGAAATACCAAAGCATAACTTCAAATGACATAGCTCTGCTGGGAACACTGCATCTGGCAGACACTGTCACCACAAAAACAAAAGGCAGGGGTAGACGACCCAGGTGTTTCAGGGCAGTCTACACATAAAAAGACAGGGTTTGGGGGAAGATATGTGCTACAAACCAAGCATGACAGGCATCCAGAATTATCAGTTGTATACAGATTTATCACACCTTTATCTATCTGTCTCTTTTTTTTTAAAATATATTTTATTGATTTTTTACAGAGGGAGAGAGATAGAGAGTCAGAAACATCGATGAGAGAGAAACATCGATCAGCTGCCTCCTGCACATCTCCCACTGGGGATGTGCCCACAACCCAGGTACATGCCCCTGACCGGAATCGAACCCGGGACCCTTCAGTCTGCAGGCCGACGCTCTATCCACTGAGCCAAACCGGTTTCGGCTATCTATCTGCTTCTTGACACTCAGCCTCAAATAATTAGGAACTGGAGGGCAATGGTGAAACAAGATTTGGTTCCTGCACCAGAACAATGCAGGATAAGACAACTGGAGGCAGGGTAGGAAATAAGACCATCTTCCTTAATCAGAATTTTACTTTACAAAGGGGATGCAAGGATAAAAAATTTTCCTAGTATGGTGGTACTCAACCTCAGCATTCTAATGTTCTGTTAAGAAAACGAATAATACAGAAAAATATTTATCTCAATGGATAGTTATTTCCTTGATTTGCTTTAATTACAGAACCTCTTAACCCCCAACTCCTAACCCCATCATGAATAATCTAGTTTAATACAAGTTAAGTCTATAAATAAGTTTGTTATTTCTCCTCAAAAAAAAAACAACAAAAAAACACACCAAAAAAAACCACTTCAGTAATTTTTCAAGAATTATTGTTTAAAAAATTTACCTAGAGAAATTAAAGTTTCAGTCATTTTGCCCCTATAACACATGGTGCTCAAGTTCAAGTATCAATGCCGTATGCTTAACGCATCACCCTTAGTTGTTCTGTTAGCATGCTGGCTTGGAGTCTTCTTAATCACTCTTTTCTTCTCCTTGATAATGTCTATACTCTGGCTTCAGCTCCCATGTGTTTTTGTGGATCCCTTTCACATTCTGAATACCAATTTCTTTTAAGATTTCCTTCAGGTACACCTGAAAAAGAAAAAACACAAACAAAAAACCTAGAGATAACCACATTTGAGTAATAAAAAATTATGATCCTGAAAGTACAATAAGATTTCTTTATAAAGAGGTTCAATAAACTACCTTTTGATTCTACACATGCAATACATGATAACTGTATTCAACATATGATCATCTGCATTAAAGGGGTTGGAAGAGCTAAGTGCCAACAACCTAAGAACTAAAAAGGTCTAGATGAAATTACACTAGAAAATTACTGGTGCCCAATGTTTATTAAGATGACACTGTATACCAAGTGTGATCTGCCCCTGAGTTCAGCAGCCTCACTCAGTTCACAGTTAGAGAGGGTTATTCTTAAACCAGTCATTTCAGAAACATACGTAAAAAGTGACAAATATTTTGGAACAATAATATTCTATGAGGCAAGCACATGAGAGGCATCAAGAATTCTCAGTTCTAAGGTGAGTTTTCAAACTAGCTATCAGGACACTTGTTTTTCCTGTGTAATAAAGAAAGTCATTATTTGTATACTCTTGTATCTTGGCCAAGCTTGTCAAGACAGGGTGAGGGACAAGAAGTGTAAGTTTGGTGATTGCCTGGGAGGCGGGGGGGTGGGGGGTTGACAGGGGTGGAGGAGGGTATAAGAAGGGATTAATGAGGATGGACAGAGGCTTGACTTGGGGTGGTGAACACATAATATAGTGTAGAGATGATATATTATAGAATTGTGCACTTGAAACCTGAATAATTTTGTTAACCAGTGTCAACCCAATAAATTCAATTAAAAAAAAAGGAAAAAAAAAAGAAGTGATAATAAGACATGGGAAAAACCATGGGGGTGGCAGCTTTCCTGTGCTTGGCTCCTCTGAAAGAAAGAGGTAAGTGATAATGTAGGGCATCCTGCATAAATTCAATAGATATTAACCAAATGATTCATGGAAATGATAGCTATGATAAATGTAATACTAAATCCGACCTCTGCTTGCCAATGCCCAAGGCCAGAAAGTATCCCACTATAAACTGACCAGCATAAATTATAGTATTGTACCCCCAGGAGGCCTGCTTGCCTCCAACACCAGCAGCTGGCTTTACCAAAGGACCTGTGTACATGAGTAAGCAAAAAGGCTTGAGGCATCTAGGTCATGTGTATGCCTGCCATCTGCCACTTCAAATTAGATTTAAAAAATTGGACACTTGCCCTAGCTGGTTTGGCTCAGTGGACAGAGTGTTGGCCTGTGGACCGAAGGGTCCGGGGTTCGATTCCAGTTGTGGACTCGATCCCTAGTAGGAGACATGTAGGAGGCAGCCAATCAATGATTCTCTCTCATCATTGATGCTTCTATCTCTCCCGCTCTCTTCCTCTCTGAAATCAATAAAAATATATTTTAAAAAAATGGGACACTTTAGAAACTACTTTCTAATTAAACAGGATGTATAAATGGAAAATGATGGCTTGGGCACAAATGATTTTCAGTTTAGAAGCCAAGAATGACATCTTTGTAAAATACCAAAGAATGGTCTAGCGCCGGTTTGGCTCAGTGGATGGAGCACCGGCCTGCGGACCCAAGGGTCCCAGGTTTGATTCTGGTTGGGGGCACATGTCCAGGTTGCGGGCTCCATTCCTGGTAGGGGGGCATGCAGGAGGCAGCCGATCAGTGATCCTCTCTCATCATTGATGCTTCTATTTTTCTCCCTCTCCCTTCCTCTCTGAAATAAAAATATAAAAAAACCACCACCAAAGAATGGTTTATTGTGAGACTGGTTAAGACCTTGTGCATAACAATCATACAACTGTGGATGCTTTGCAATGGGTGAAGAGTGACAAGAGCAATCACCAGGAGCATTGTGGTTTCCTGACAGAAACTCTTTAAAAAATTTTTTTATTTTTATTTGTTTAAATATATTTATATTGATTTCAGAGAGGAAGGGAGAGGGAGAGAGAGAGAGAGAGAAACATCAATAATAAGAGAGAAATCACTGATTGGCTGCCTCCTGTATGCCCCACACTGGGGATCAAGCCCACAACCGGAGTATATGCCCTGACCAGGAATAACGGTGACTTCTTGGTTCATAGGTCAATGCTCAACCACTGAGCAACACTGGCTGGGCAGCTCTTTTTTTTTCTTTTAAAGTATTGTTGGGGCCCTAACGGGTTGGCTCAGTGGATAGAGCGTCGGCCTGCGGACTGAAGGGTCCCAGGTTCGATTCCAGTCAAGGGCACGTACCTTGGTTGCAGGCACATCCCCAGTAGGAGGTGTGCAGGAGGCAGCTGATCAATGTTTCTAACTCTCTATCCCTCTCCCTTCCTCTCTGTAAGAAATCAATAAAATATATTTTAAAAAAATTAAGTATTGTTGGGGAGTAAGTTTCTCCTTGACTCCACTCGCTGCAGCAATTGTGGGAATACTTACTCTCCACAATGGTGCAGCGAGCAGGTGAGCAGGATTCAGGAGTATGTGCGGACTCAAGAGCGAATGCTCCTGACACTTGGCATCCGGAACAGGATTTAGGGGTAAGTGCTCCATCCGCCCGACAGAGGTTATGTTTCCTCCAACCGGGCTGCAGGGTCCCCAAGGAGATGCAAGGAGTGGCGCAGCTTGAGAGACTAAGCCTCCGGAGACGGTGGAGGAAAAGGTGAAGCTGGCAGTGGCGGCCACCTGGGCCACCACTCAGGCTATGGAGCGCAGCTGCAGCGGGAGAAGCCTTCACATAAAGATTTAATTCTTGCTGAGCTATGGCCCTGGGCTGTGTTCTGCTCGCTGGCCAAGCAGCTACGAGGAGGGGATAGCCAGACTAACTGTGTGCAGACAATGCCTGCTGGCCACAGGGGTGGAGCAGTGATTCTGTTCCAGAGAGTGTGGAGGGAAGACACTCCCCCTAGACCAGAGGGCCTCCGGGACTTTTATACTCTCCTGGAGAGGAGGAGTCTGATCTCCTAGACCAGTGAGTGGTTCTCAACCTTCCTAATGCCGCGACCCTTTAATACAGTTCCTCATGTTGTGGTGACCCCAACCATAAAATTATTTTCGTTGCCACTTCATAACTGTAATTTTGCTACTGTTATGAATCGTAATGTAAATATCTGATATGCAGGATATATTTTCATTGTTACAAATTGAACATAATTAAAGCTTAGTGATTAATCACAAAACAATATGTAATTATATATGTGTTTTCCGATGGTCTTAGGTGACCCCTGTGAAAGGGTCGTTCGACCCCAAAGGGGTCGCGACCCACAGGTTGAGAACCGCTGTATTATATGGTTCTATTTACATGAAACTTTCAGAATAGGCAAATCTATAAAGACAGAAAGTAGACTAGTGCTTGCTTAGGGTCCGGGATAAGAGGAAAGGAGGCCCTAGCCGGTTTGGCTCAGAGGACAGAGCATCAGCCAGTCAAGGGCACATGCCGGGGTTGCAGGCTCAATCCCCACCCAGTAAGGGGCGTGCAGGAGGTAGCTGATCAATGATTCTCTCTCATCATTGGTGTTTCCCTCTCTCCCTTTCTCCCTGAAATCAATTTAAAAAATGTTTTAAAAAGATAAAATAAAAGAGGAAAGGGGGAGTGATTGCTAATAGGTATGGGGTTTCTTTCTGGAGTGAAGAAAATGTTCTAAAATTGATTGTGGTTGATGGTTATACAACTGTGTGAATATACTAAAATCCACTGAACTGTAACTTAAAAAGTTTAACTTGTACTGAAAATAAAGTTTTTAAATTTGGAGAAAAAAAAGAGACCTCTCCAGATCATAACAACAAATTGAGATAACACAATTTTTAAAGTATTAAATTATCATGGGTAAAGTAACGTGTCCAACAGTGGCTGGCTCTGTGTGTCAGTTCATATATACAGGAAAACATGATGGAATAGAATATCTGTCTTTGGACATTCTAGGAGGAATGGCTCTATAATGCTGTAGTACAGAGCTTTAGGCGAGCACTACAAGGTCTGCCGCTTACAGGGGTATCTCAATGCCCCTTCTGAGAAAGAGAAACCGGGAGGCTTCAAACACTTACCTAAATCCATATTTTGTCTAAGTCAGAGCCCAATGCAAAGAAAATGATTTCTTTCCTGAGGCAATTCCCCTAAGAATTACAAGCCTAAAAACAAGTCCTAGCATGCTCAGGGAATAAATAAAACCAGGAGAAAGCAGTTAATAAGCTTAAAAACTTACTTTACCTCCCTTTAAATCAAATGGGACAGGAAGGGGGGAGGGGAAGAGTTCATGGGTAATGTGATTTTCAGATAAAATATAAATATTGTGGCCTGCTATTAATTAAAAATTCCATGTAAATTTTTATATAAATAAATGCCCGATTTTGTTTTCTGGATGCCTATGTTAGCTATTGCTTTTATCAAAGTATATCTCAGGTAAAATCTGGACTCAATTGGTCATGTTAGTAAATTAACCCCAAATTTTACCTCATTCAGAAACATGATAAAAAAAGGCCGAAACAAACCATATAAGTTGAAAGAGAAAATGTTACTATCCCATAAACTTGGTAGCAGATCTATTGCTTATTAGTACATTCTATTCATAAGAAAATATTAAAATTTCATAAATATTTAAATTTCATCCATTTATATTCAACATAATTAATAATTTATTTTAGCATGACATTTCATATTCTAAACCTTTTAATTAAGGCTTCACTTCATAAAGTTAGAAAATAATTACTAAAAAAAACAACAGCCCTTGCTGATTGTGCAGTGGTTAGAGCATTGGACTGCACACCAAAGGGTTGTGGGTTTGATTCCGGGCCCCAGCTGGGGCACGTGCGAGAGGCAACCTATTGATGTGTCTCTCTCATATTGATGTTTCTCTCCCTCCACCCTCTCTTCTTCCTCCCTTCCACTCTGAAAAATCAATGGAAAAAATATCCTCAGGTGAGGACTGAAAAAGAAAGAAAAGAAACGAGTCTCAAAAAGGTCTGTCATTAATTAAAATGCTCTATTGGGAAACTGGTGGTCTTTTTAGTTTTAATAGTACCATTCAAAAATAATAATTT